AACCGTTAATTATTATTATTATTATTATTATTTATATACATACATACATACATATACATACATACATATATATATATATATATATATATATATATATATATATATATATATATATATATATATATATATATATATATATATTTTCGTCCAGTTATCACCCTGACTGATTAGCTCTGTCTTTAAATAAACATCTGTGTCTATCTGTCCATTTGTCTGTTAAACTGCTCTCTCTCTCTCTCTCTCTCTCTCTCTCTCTCTCTCTCTCTCTCTCGGGTGGCCCAGGGATGGTAAGTGTGGGCGTGGCGAGGAGTGGTGTCGAGGGTGGGCGGGGTGAGAGGGAGTGGTGTGAGGGTGGGTATGGCACGGGTGGGCGTTTTCACAGAGAGGAAAATGCAATTGGTACAGTTGGCGCAAGGAAACACTCACAACACACTCACTCATACTTGCAACACACTCACCCATACTTGTAACACTCCCAGTCACTCAAAACACACACACACACACCTGTCCTTCCTCCTTCCTTCAAGACCCGTTCCATTGTTTACGTTCTGGAGCCGTTCACTAGAGGGAGGAGAGAGGGGGGGGGGTTATTCAGCTGATTGTAGGTTTAGTATTAAGGGGTAGAACCAGTAGTGTCTAATAGAACCACCTGCGTCTAATAGAATCGGTCGTGTAAGGTTAAACCAAAAAGGTATAGACAGAACCCAGCTTGACTTAATTAATTGAACCAGACCCTGAGGAGACCTGGTGATTAAGGTGTTCTCCCAGGTGTATTCCCTTCACTAGGACTTAAAGGATTATGCCTCCTGGGTCCTTGTTCCTTCTCAAATGTATCCTGCGGGTGTTGAGGACTCGGAGTCAAGAGGCGGGTAATATAGGATAGGAGTCTGTAGTCCTGTTGCCCCATTGGAGTTATATTTGTCTTTCTCATCTTCTCTCTTCCTACACTCCCTTCTTTCCCCTTCCCTCGCCTTCCCTCCCTCTCCCCTCCACCTCCCCTCCCTCTCCCCTCCCTCTCCCCTCCACCTCCCCCCCCGTCCTCACTCCTCTCCTCACGACAAGAGGTGTGGTCTGTGACGTAGCCTCGATGTCATGTAAGAGAAAGAGTCTAGAACCGTAACGTAGCGCCACCGTTGGCAGAAGATAGCAGGCGAACGTTCGTCTGGCATAGTTTCCATAAAGGTGACCTCGAGGGGCGAAGGTGAACGTTAAGCACAGTTCATTGCTCGTTCTGACGGTATTGACTCTTTTATTTCACTATGGTAAACCACTGGATGACCTTACATGACCTTGACCCTGTGACCTCCTGACCTTAAGGACATTTTCAAGCGCTGTGGAGGAGAGAGAGGGAGAGGGGAGAGACACGACGTACAGAAGGTGCCAAGGTCAGTTGACACGACTGACTGTGATGACTGGAAGGGGTGGCGGGATAAGAGCGATGGGTCGTGGAATAAACACAAGCTGGTGAGGTCATGTCAATTATACACAAGGTGAAGCTGAGGGGCGGTCAGGAGGGTGTTGGCGGCGATGTGTTCTCGCTGTGGTGTGGTAGACTGTGGTAGACGAGGTTAAAGTTGTTGGAATGGAGGTAGATGGGATGGCAGAAGGGATGAGGGAGAAGTGAAAGGGCAGAAGGAGAGGTAGAAGAGGAAGTGGTGGAGTGAGGGAGGGAGGAAGGAATGAAGGGAAATTGAGTGAAGGAGGGAGAGAGTAGAGAGGGAGAAGGAGAAGAAGAAGGCTAACATTCCCTCACTACAGTATTTCCTGTCTCCTCTATTGTGGTGGTGAGGACGGCGGTATGGCTTTGTCTCCGTGGCCTGTGGCGGGGCGAGACTCAGGGACAATACCGTTGTCTTGCCTCTATTATACTAACTAAAACTCCTGCCTGAAGAACGCCACTGCTGGAAGAAGGGAGACTGGCGAACGTTCGTAGGGTGGAGGGGGACGATTAGACTGTCTTGAGGAGGAATAGTGTAGGAAAAATTTGTTTGAGTAAATAATGAGGAGAAAATTGTCTCTGGTGAGTCGGTCAGTTTAACATTATTCGCTCTGATTTTCGTCAGTCCTGTCTGGGGGGGAGGAGGGGGGTTAACAACTCCCTCAACCGGGTAAAACATATATAGTCGATCACTTCGCCAGTCAGGGAAGACAGGCATTGAGCTGACTGACGCAGCATCCAGCCAGGAAGTGATGTGTTCACAGATAATTCTCATAAAAATCAGGGAGTAAATATTCAATGTCAGCCCCAGTTAACGAGATGCTTCACATGGGCGTAAACACACACACACACACACACACACGGGGGGGGACCTCCGCACACTAATTTTAATTGGTTCATTAACGAAAAGAATAATATTTACCTGGTGTTTGAATACAAAATATAAAACGTAAACAAACTCTGACCTGGAAATAGTTAAACAAAATAAAATAAAAGTCTTGTCGATGGGAAACTTTCCTGGGGTGAGAGATTTTTTTAATTTCTCACCATTAATATTATGAC